TGCGGGTACTGAGACTGCTGGTGCGCGGTCTCCTTGGAGTAGCCGCCTTCGTCCGCGTGCGCCTCTCTCCCCGCAGCAGCTGCACGAGTGGTACACTCGCCGTCAGGGTCGTGCTGCTGGAGCTCGGGGCGTTACCGCTGGAGGTGTTTCTGCTGTCGTCGCTGGAGCTGGGAGTGGTGCTGTGTCTACAGGAGGTGCAAGAGTCGCTGGTCCCGGAGGTGCTCGTACTGGAGGTACTGGAGCTGCTGGGGCTGGAGGTGCTGCGTCTGGGGGTGCTGCTGCTGGAGACACTGAGGCTGGAGACCCTAGGACTGGAGGTGTCGGTTCTGGGGGTGCTGCTGCTGGAGACACTGAGGCTGGCGACCCTAGGACTGGAGGTACTGGTTCTGGGGGTGCTGCTGCTGGGGGTGCTGGCGCTGGAGGTTCTGGAGCTACTGGAGGTGCTGGAGCTACTGGAGGTGCTGGAGCCACTGGAGCTGCTGGAGCTGCCGGTGCTGGTGCAGCTGCGCCGACACGACTGTTCTTCGCTCCGCCGTCTCCGTCGTCTCTGCCGCCGCCTGACTCTGTTCTTCGTCAGGTTCTTACCCTTCCGTCGTCTACTGGTCTTCCGTTACTGCCTGGCTCACCGCTCCCTGCTCCTCCTCCTTACACTGAGCAGCCTGGTGGTCTTGCTGAGCGTCGTGAGCCTGCGTCGCGTCCTGTCTCGCCTGTTAATTCTGGTCGTACCAGTCGTCGTGTTGCTCATCCGCGTTCGCTCGCTGTCCCCGGTACACACCTCGTAGTCCGTCGTCTTTCCTCTGCTCCGCAGTCTGTTCCTCTGCCGTCTCCCCCTGCGTCCTCTCTGCCTGACGTTGCCGACCCTGAGTCTGACCGGTTTCGTGCTGAGCACCCCACTGTCACGCGTCTGCTTGCCACTGTTGTCACTGATCCGTCGTTTGAGTCTGCTGCTGCGTCTGCCTTGGTCGCTGAGCTTGTGGACTTTGCTGCTGCCTGTCGTCTAGACTACGCTGCTAGTCTTGTTCTGAGTCTGCGTCTGTCTGTCCTCCGTCCGTCGGGGGTGAGTGTGCTCTTGGCACGGACGTCCTTGAGGACAGGCAGGAGGACCTTGAGTGTCTTGCAGCCGCTGTGCCTCATCTCGTGGCCATGCTGCTTGCCCCTGAGGGAGACCCGGATGCTGTAGACATCCCGACCCCGCGCTCTTACGCTGAGGCGATCGCAGGTCCCTACTCCTCTCAGTGGCAGGCAGCCATGGACGCAGAGATGGCATCCTGGAAGTCCACAGGCACTTACGTTGATGAGGTTCCCCCTCCTGGGGCGAACATCGTCGATGGCATGTGGATTTTCAGGGTGAAGCGGCCGCCGGGTTCTCCGCCTGTCTTCAAGGCGCGTTACGTTGCACGAGGCTTCAGTCAGCGTGAGGGAGTTGACTTCTTCCAGACCTTCTCCCCTACCCCGAAGATGACCACTCTTCGGGTGCTGCTGCACGTTGCCACTCAGCGTGACTACGAGCTTCACTCTCTTGACTTCAGCACAGCCTTCTTACAGCCTGCACGAGGAGATCTGGCTGCGCCGCCCACCTGGCTTCACTGGGTCGTTCCCTCCTGGTACCCAGTGGAGCCTCCGGCGACCAGTCTACGGTCTCCGCCAGGCGCCTTGTGAGTGGCACGACACACTGAGGACGACACTTGCGGCACTTGGGTTTGCTCCTTCGACAGCTGACCCGTCGCTGTTTCTGCGCACCGACACTTCGCTGCCGCCGTTCTACATCCTCGTGTACGTCGACGACTTGGTCTTTGCTACTGCTGACACTGAGGCTCTCGCTCTAGTGAAGTCGGAGCTGCAGAAGAGACACACGTGCACTGACCTGGGTGAGCTGCGCAGTTACCTTGGCTTGCAGATCACCCGAGACAGAGCACGCCGCACCATCACACTGACTCAGTCACACATGGTGCAGCAGGTCCTTCAGCACTTCGGCTTCACCTGGTCCTCCGCACAGTCCACTCCTCTTGCTACAGGTCACTCACTCTCAGCTCCACCTTCGGACGAGTCCGTAGAGTCGAGTGGTCCTTACGCAGAGCTAGTGGGCTGCCTCATGTACCTGATGACCTGCACTCGACCTGACCTTGCGTACCCTCTTGGCCTTTTGGCTCGCTACGTGGCTCCTGGTCGGCACCGAAAGGTGCACATGGATGCTGCAAAGAGGGTACTGCGCTACCTGTGCAGTACATCGGGCATGGGGCTCGTGCTTGGAGGACGGAGCGACGTTGTCCTCACTGGGCACTCAGACGCTTCTTGGGTTGACGACCAGGCTACGCAGCGGTCGTCACAGGGTTACACCTTCAGCCTTGGCTCTGGCTCTGTTTCTTGGCGTTCTACTCGCTCGTCTTCTGTTCTCAGCTCCAGTTGTGAGGCTGAGATCTACGCCACAGCCATGGCTGCTCAGGAGTTGCGCTGGCTCACCTACCTGCTGACCGACTTGGGAGAGAGGCCTCGTTCTCCTCTAGTTCTGTACATCGACAACAAGGCCGCCATTGCCTTGTGTCAGGAGCACATACTGGAGCACAGAACGAAGCACATCGCTCTGCGTTACTTTCTGGCTCGAGAGTTGCAGCAGCGTGGTCAGCTTCGTCTTGCTCACGTGGCCACCAGGGCCAACACTGCTGATATATTCACCAAGGCACTTCCGCCTGGTGATCATCAGCGCTTTTGTACTTTGTTGGGCCTTGTGCCTACGTTTCCTCACTTGCTGTAGGCTTTGCTTGTACTGTGATCTATGTATATATACCTGCATGCTTGCTCTTGCTAGGTAGTGATCACTGTACTGTGTTGTTGCATATATACCGCTGCATGTGAACTGGCCTTGTGGCCCTTTGCTTGTGCTCAGAATGTGTGGTGACTTTGTGATCCACCCTGAGCTTGCTTTGCCTTTCTTGACTGGTTATGTGACCTCTTGTTCTCCCCCACTTTTCCTATGGGGGTTTGTCAAACATATATGCTGCTTATTGTGTAGGCTGTAGTGGGGTAGCCCATATGGGGTACAACCCAGATTAGGGTTTCCTACTTGTACCCATCATGCTGCTAGTTCATTCATTCCTGCCTAGACTTCTGACAACGAGTGCCCTTGCAGCGGGTCAGCAGGGACCCACGTGTCATCTTCGCTCGTGCGGTCCACCCAACATACCCTGACACATTTCCATTCACGGTAGAAATGAATTGACCAGTCTATTGAACTCCCCCCCGTGCTACCGCATCCTCTGCCTAGCATGGGGGGGAGTTAAATAGCATAGTTCCTGAATCATCCAACTGTTACATGAAACAACACAATCTATGTAAACTAAAAAGATAATCAAGATCCATCAAATCCAGTTCAAGTTAACACAGTCACTGAGTGGGCACAGAACCTTCTCGGAAATGACGGGTTGATCATCTTTTTAAAATTCACAGATGCGCATATGGATGAGTGTGCACACACAGAGACACATATACTGTCACTAGTGCACATATCGACATGCACACACAAAACTCAGACAAAATCAGAAAATAAACCCAAAAGAAATCTAACAATAGAGTAGCATCGATCATACAAATAACAATCTTTCTACTTTCCACGTTAACATTGTTTTTCCAAATGGTACAACAAAGACTCTGGGGGGGGAAAGGGGTGGGAGAGAGGCGGGAGAGGAAAGGAACGGGGCAGAAGGGGCAGAAGAAGAACGAAGGCAAGGAAATTGGGGGTCATGGTACAAACCAATAATAATAGAAAGAAAAGCATGGAATGAATGAAATAGAACATTGGCGAACCCAACACAAAGCTTGTGTAAAATTAATAATTTTGTTGATTACAAGAAAGAAATGAGGAGGAAAGTGAAATCAATGACCAATGAATCGATAAATTGTAACAAGGGGAAAATACTAGAAAAATGTGTAGGAAGGAAAGAGATGTTAGAAAAACTAGGCTTAGTAGCCTGGGGTGGAACGAGAATGACGAGAGAGAAATGGGGTTTCACAATGACAAGGGTACGAGATATAGTTCAAGGTAAGGTGGAAAGGTGGGGTACACCACCAACAAGGGAATACTAGTGATATTACACTAGGTCCTTAGGAATAACCTACTCTGTACCATGTTAGAAAGACTAGGCTTAGTAGCCTTGGGTGGAACGAGAATGACGAGAGGGAAAGGGGGTCTCACTATGACAAGGTACAAGATATAGTTCAAGGTAAGGTGGGAAGGGGGGTACACCACCAACAAGGGAATACTAGTGATACTGCTCTAACTAGATTGTATGCAGTTATACAAAGAATATCATTCTTAACAAGAGACATATACTGAAAGTAAAATAACAGAAAATAGGGAACAGTAAGGAAAAAGAAAACAGAAATGAAAAGAATAGGTGAAAGGAATACGAAGGATGAAGGAACGGAAGTGGAAGGCAGGGGGTAGGCACAAAGAAATCACAACATGAATAAAGGAAAGAGTAAAGGAAGTAGGAAACAGAAAACATTAATGAAAATAATAGGCGAGGGAACGGAAGTGTAAGGTAGAGAGAAGGAACAATAAAAGCACAATAAGTATAAGCCAAAGAGGAAAAGGCAAAATTGGTGTGACGAGCATCACTGAGATGAACTCAGGGTGCGGGCACAAGATGAGAGTGATGGGTGTCGGCAAAGCGGCATTCAAGGGAGCTGATGGGAAGCCGGTCATCCTAGAAGATGTGCTTTTGGTGCCGGAGCTGAAAGGGAATCTGATTTCCCTAAGGAAGATGGGGCTTGCAGGCGTGTGTACAGCAACTAATGGAGCTGAAACCTTCAAGGGGCAGCTCGGTGATCGTGTGCTGTGGGACCTACACGAGGACAAGGACCTGCTTGACGAGTTGTGGCATGTGTCGGTGGTGCTATGGAGTGAGGTGGCACCTGAGAAGGCGAATGGGAGCTGCGGCTGCAAGGGAGATTGTGCTGCAGTAGCTGCTGAAACGATCAAGGAGCTGAAATCAACAATGGAGATGCTGGTGCAGCAGTTGAAGTTGGTGAATGTTCGACTTGCAGCGGCTGAAAAGCGGAATGCTTCCGGTGCTGATGAGGAGAAGGGTGCAGAAGCCAGGGGGAGCAAGGTTATTGCTGTTGCTGTGGTTAAGGGGAAGGGAGTTCACAAGTGTGACACTCGTGAGCAGCACAAATGTGAGGTCTCGGTGCAGCTGAAGGATGGAGCTGAGAAGGAGAAGATAGTGGAGCTGAATGTGGCTGATGATGGGACTCAGGTGAAGGGGGAACCTGAGGTGAAGCGGAGCTTGGAGGAAGCCGACATTACCTTGGATGGTAACGGTATTACCGCAGCTAATGACATGGGAGCTGAAAGTGTGGGGAAGGATAAGACAGCTTTCCCTAAAATTGGAGTTGGGATCGGCAATGTAGCGGAGCCGGTTGACAGTGAGAAGCTGAGTGATGGAGCTGAATAGCCGTCAGGTTGAGGGGGAGTTTGTTGGGTGCAAAATATCATTTGCACGTCAACCTGTCGCCTATTCGTCGAGCAAGGTGAATTTTGAAGGAATAGGATTTACGGTAATTTGCATTGTGTGGAATACGCATTTGTGTGCTGTTTATTTTGGCGTTTACGGTTTGTGATTCGCCTTAACGGTTCTTAAGTTATGTGCATTTGAGTGTGAGGTTACATTCATGCGTTTTCATGGTTGTTCGTGTGTGTTTCGTGTTTTTCTTGTCGTGTCATGAATGTGCGTGAAGTTCCGAGTGATCATGTGTTTTCATGAGCCTTCGCGCATTTGTGAATGTTCGCGTGCTGTTCGTGCAAGCTTCATGAGCGTTCATGTTCGTTCATATGCGTTCATGTCTGCGCGTGACTGTTTATGTTTCATTCTTGTTTGTTCGTGTTTTGTTCATGCATTTTCGTGAGTGTTCATGGTGTGAGTCGAGTGCGCCGGGGAGATGGGGCTCGAGTCTTTGACTGGGCCCTTGACCAGTTTCGCACTGGTCAAAAAGTGCGCGACTGTCAGGACCCGAGCGTGTGGTCCTGACAGGCGCGTGTGGGCCCTCAGGCCCACGCGTGTGTCTGTATACTGTTGCGCGAGGGCCTAAGGCCCATGATCGTAACGGGACAACGCACGTTTGTGCGCTGTACAGCACGACCGAAATATCGGTCGTGTATGATTGCGTACCTGAGGGGTGCGCGTGTGTTTCGGGGGGTGCTTCGGGATTGACTCGAGATTTCAGTTCTGTAACTGAATCTCGAGCCTCGTCATTTACTGTGCAGAGCGCACAGAAATTTCGTGAGAAAGCAGCGCGCGTAAAGGGACAATTTCGATGCAGGGAAAAACGGTGAAAAACCGTGAAGTAACTGTTAGGCTTCGTGAAAAACGGTGAGAAACCGTTTTGTAATTGTGAACGTTCGTGATAACGGTAATCTCACACGAATGTTCATGATTGCGCGTGGGAAATTGTGAACGTTCGCGAAGACAGTCAGCAGGGAAAATTTGGCAGGAGTGCAACTTGAAGTCAGTTATTTCTACAAGGCGAATCAAGCCAAATGCAAGGGCAGTTTCGTAACTGCTTTTCAAGGATAACAAGGCGAAGTCATGAAGACTAGTTAAACAGTTTCTTTGTGCTTTCCCATGCTTGTGTGTTAGGCGAAATATAAGATGCGTGCTTGTGCTTGGTTGCAATCAATCCTTTTCAGTGAATATTTTGCTCTATCGACGTATTGACGCGAGGAGTTATTCTGCACACGCACCTATCGATCGTCAACGCTGCGCAATTGAGCTTGGGAATGCTCTTAGTGCACACGACCGTTTTTACACTTAGAGAAATCCCTCTACAAACACGGACCCTTGGTTAGGGGCTGGCGTTGCCAGGCACCCGAGGACCCTTGGAGGTGACCCCGTGGGGACTATCTAGTGTGTATTAAAGGTGTGCTTAAGAGTTTCTAGATCGCAATAGTAGTCAACAGAATCAACAACACAACGAGTGCATAAATCCAAAATGCTCCGCAACCCTAAGACGATTTCGTCGCCTCTTGTTTTTTTTTTTTTTTTTTTTTTTTTTTTGGTTGTGTTTTAGCGAGTGAAGAATGTCGAGTGAAAACGGGCTCTGACTACCAAGTGTGAGGATCGAGAATCGAGTTCATAAATGTATTTTGATCGCTTGGGTACAACACGAGGCTATATATAGGTATGAAACAAGGCAAGATGACAAGGTGTTACGTAAAGATTCCTAAGTTTACGAAGCATCAGGAACTTGACCTCCTCAAATTCGATAGAATCAATTAGGCGGAATCACGTGTACGTAAAGTCACACAGAATAAACCGAAATGAAACAGAATTCGGTGCATGCAACCTAGTTCGATGCCATATCCATAAAAACTATAGTTAAACAAGGAAAACTAGTGCAAATGATGTTTGGAAAATAAAATAAGTAAGAACGGATAAGCACTCTCACACTAGCGACGATAAGGCGTTCGTAGAACAGTACGTCTCGTGCAGGTGAGATATTGTTGCTCTGAAGGTCTAGGATAAGCCACCCGTTATATTTCTAGTTAATCCCAAGGTGGTTTTCTCAGCGTGTGCGGTCGATGAATTTGCCGATGGTGGCAGGCGTGGGCATGTACTGTACCATGCTGCCCCACAACCGGAGCATCGAGGTCTCGCCCTTCTTCCCAGTCTGTCAAACATTGCATGTTTAAGTTGTGTAGGCTGTAGTGGGTTTGACCTTAGGGGGTACACAAACTTAGGGTTTCCTACTTGTACCCAACTTTCTGCTAGTTCATGCATTTCCTGCTTCATTCATTCTGACATGGTTTCAGAGCAGGTCCTTCACTAGGACCTAGTTTTTAGGGCCCACCACTACTGACTGCCTACTAGCGCCTTCGTGCGCCCTACTGTCGGAGTGCTCCCTAGCGCCTCCCCCCCCAGCGCCCTCGTGCGCCTCTCTTTAACGGCCCCTTAAGGCCCCGTCGACCCCGCGCGCCGCCCCTTAGCGACCCGCGCGCCGCCCCTTAGAGGCCCCGTCGACCCCTCGTGCGCCCCGCTTAGAGGCCCCGCTGGCCCCGTCGACCCCGCGCGCGCCCCGCTTAGAGGCCCCGCTGGCCCCGTCGACCCCGCGCGCCTCCCTTAGCGGCCCCGTCGGCCCCGTCGACCCCGTGCGCACCCACGCCTTAGCGGCCCCGTCGACCCCACCCGCTGCCCCTTACCGCCCCCCACGCGACAGCCACGGCCCCGCCAGAACCAGGCCGCCCGAACCGAGCCACGCAGCCCGAACCGAGCCGCGCCGCCCTACCCGAGCCGCGCCGCCCTACTTGAACCGAGCCGCGCCGCCCGTCCTGAACAGCCTCTCTGGACCGAGCCGCCCTACCTGAGTCGCGCTGCCTACTGCTGTTAGGGTGCACCTACTACTACTGCTCCTACTGCTACTATGGCTAGCCCTCCTGTGCTAGCTTTCGATGCTGAGGGCCGCCCAGTGAAGTTTGACACCTGGCTAGATGACCTGCACCTCTTCCTCCAGCTCACTGCCAAGGAGGACACCTCACTGTACGATTACGCCGCTAGCCTTGTTGCTGAGTCTGAGTCTGTCTGTCCTCCGTCCGTCGGGGGTGAGTGTGCTCTTGGCACGGACGTCCTTGAGGACAGGCAGGAGGAGTTCTAGTGCTTTGCTGCTGCTTTGCCCCATCTCGTGTCCATGCTAGTTGCCCCTGAGGGAGACCCGGATGCACCAGACATCCCGACTCCGCGCTCTTACGCAGAGGCGATGGAGGGTCCCTACTCCTCTCAGTGGCAGACAGCCATGGACGCAGAGATGGCTTCCTGGAAGTCCACAGGCACCTACGTCGACGAGGTTCCCCCACCTGGGGCGAACATCGTCAGTGGCATGTGGACTTTCAGGGTGAAGCGGCCGCCGGGTTCTCCTCCTGTCTTCAAGGCGCGTTACGTGGCTCGAGGCTTCAGTCAGCGAGAGGGAGTAGACTTCTTCCAGACCTTCTCCCCCACCCTGAAGATGACCACTCTTCGGGTGCTGCTGCACATAGCCGCTCAGCGCGACTATGAGCTTCACTCACTTGACTTCAGCACTGCTTTCTTGCAGGGCAGCCTGCACGAGGAGATCTGGCTGTGCCGCCCTCCTGGCTTCACTGGGTCGTTTCCTCCTGGTACCCAGTGGAGCCTCCGGCGGCCGGTCTACGGTCTCCGCCAGGCGCCACGTGAGTGGCACGACACACTGAGGACGACACTTGCGGCTCTTGGGTTCGCTCCTTCTACTGCTGACCCGTCGCTGTTTCTACGCACCGACACCTCGCTGCCGCCGTTCTACATCCTCGTGTACGTCGACGACTTGGTCTTTGCCACTGCTGACACTGCGGCACTCGCCCACGTGAAGTCCGAGTTGCAGAAGAGACACACGTGCACAGACCTGGGTGAACTGACAAGCTATCTTGGCTTGCGGATCACCCGGGACAGAGCACGGCGCACCATCACCTTGACTCAGTCACACATGGTGCAGCAGGTCCTTCAGCGCTTCCGCTTCACGTACTCCTCGCCTCAGCCCACTCCTCTGCCTACCGGTCACTCGCTCTCAGCTCTGCCTTCGGATGAGTCCGTAGAGCCGAGTGGCCCGTATCCAGAGCTTGTGGGCTGCCTCATGTACCTGATGACCTGCACTCGACCTGACCTTGCATACCCTCTTAGCATCCTTGCACGCTATGTCGCTCCTGGCCGTCACCGGAAGGAGCACATGGATGCCGCTAAGAGGGTGTTGCGTTACTTGTGCAGTACGTCGGGCATGGGGCTAGTGCTTGGAGGGCGAGACCGAGTTGTACTCACTGGGCACTCAGACGCTTCTTGGGCGGACGACCAGGCTACTCAGCGGTCGTCTCAGGGTTACACCTTCAGTCTTGGCTCTGGTTCAGTTTCTTGGCGTTCTACACGCTCTTCTTCTGTTCTCAGCTCCAGTTGTGAGGCTGAGATCTATGCCACAGCCATGGCAGCCCAGGAGCTACGCTGGCTCACCTACCTGCTGACCGACTTGGGAGAGCGGCCTCGTTCTCCTCCAGTGTTGTACGTCGACAACAAGGCTGCCATTGCCTTGTGTGAGGAGCACAGACTAGAGCACAGAACGAAGCACATCGCTCTGCGCTACTTCCTTGCTCGAGAGCTGCAGCAGCGCGGTCAGCTTTGTCTGCGTTACGTGGCCACTCAGGCCAACACTGCTGATGTGTTCACCAAGGCGCTTCAGCCTTGTGACCATCAGCGTTTCTGTACTCTTCTAGGCCTTGTGCCTGCTGGACCTCACTTGCTTACTTCTTGACTCTGCTTGTACTGTGATCTCTATATATATACCTGCATGTTTACACTTGCTAGGTTGTGATCACTGTATCTCTTGTTATATTATCAAACTGCATGTGAACTGGTCTTGTGACCGCTTGCTTGTGCTCGGAATTTGTGTGGTATCCTTGAGATCC